CCTAGCGGCAGTTTCACAGTGCTTGCAACTGTCTCAGGAAGTGAAAGCACCAGAAAATAAATTAAGTCATAATCAGCTGTCATCCGTATGCGAGGAGGTAAGCACAAGATGCCGAACACCCTGAGCAGGATGCAGCGCACCCTCCATGCGACTCGCCGAATATCTCACGGCGCTTCGCGCTTGGTGATGTGAGAGCCTGGTCCGGTGAGAACCCGGCGTGCTCCGTCCCGGCTTTGTAGGGATGCGAGGTCAATGGTCNCGCTGTCAGGACCACAGGTTCAAAGGCCGAGCAGACGAGGTCCGTGTACAATACAAACCCCTCGCCCCTCAGAACCAGACGCCAAAAGCAGGAAATCGCCAACCAAACAAGGCGCATTACCAGAAACCAAAGGCAAATGTGAAATCCAGACCGTTAATATTATCCCTAAAGGGATGGCACAGGCGGCTCATAATGTTGCTACATCACTATGTCTGCCATGGAAAAGCCTCAGTCTCCCAGGAAGATGTTCGTCGTCAAGCGGTCGGGTGCCAAGGAGGACATCAAGTTCGACAAGGTGACTTCGAGGATCGAGAAACTTTGCGAGGGCCTCAACAGGGAGTACGTCGACCCTGTTGCCATGACCCTGAAGTTGAACCAGGGCATGTATTCCGGAGTGACGGCGACCGAACTCGACGAGCTCGCCGCGCAGACCTGTGCGTGCATCGCCACAACACACCCGGATTACTCCGTGCTTGCTGCGCGCATCTGCATCAGCAACCTCCAGAAGCAGACGGAGCCCGACTACCTTAAGCTGGTCACCACTCTACGAGAACACGTGCACCCCGACACGGGAGAGTACTCACCACTCGTGACCGAAGAGCTGGTAGACGTTGTCAAGGCCCACACCGACAGGATTCAGCGCACGCTGGACGAGGAAAAGCCCCGGTATGACTTATTTGGGTTCAAGAGGCTGGAAAAGTCGAACTTGCTGCGCGTTAAGGGGCGGGTGGTGGAGAGACCCGTGCAACTCCATATGCGCGTGGCTATCGGCCTGCACGGCCACGACATTGACTCGGTCATCCAGATGTTCAGGATGATCGCTAGAAAGAAGAACACGATGGCCACGCCGACGCTCTTCAACGCCGGCACACCGCATGCCTAGATGTCGTCTTGCTTATTGCTGCACACCAAGAGCGACTCAGTTGAAGGAATATTCGACACCCTGAAGGACTGCGCCGACGTATCCAAGTATGCTGGCGGCATCGGTGTGAGCATTCATGATATCAGAGGAACTAGGTCATACATTCGAGGCACCGGTGGGCGATCAAGCGGCATTGTCCCTATGCTTCGCATGTTCAACGATTGCTCGCGCTTCATCGACCAGGCCGGTCGACGAAAGGGTTCCTTCGCGTTCTATCTCGAGCCGTGGCACGCGGACATACGGTCGTTTCTTGACATGAAGAACACCGGCAACGACCTCGAGCGAGCAAGAGACCTGTTCTTTGCGCTGTGGGTGCCCGACCTGTTCATGAAGCGAGTGGAAAACAACGGCCCCTGGTCGCCTTTCTCGCCCAACGAGGCCACTGGCTTGTCCGACGTATATGGGGGCGCGTTCGAGGACCTCTACTGCAAGTACGAGGCTGAGGGCAAGGTCAGAGAGCAGATACGGGCCAGGGACTTCTGGAACCACATCATCGACGTCTAGGGCGGGACTGGAACGCCCTACATGCTCTTCAAGGACGCGGCGAACAAGACGAGCAACCACAACCACCTTGGGACCATTAAGAGCTCAAACCTGTGCGCAGAGATTGTCCAGTACAGGTCACCCAAGGAAACAGCGGTGTGTAATCTCGGGTCAATCAACATTTCCGCCATGGTGAGGGATCCGTACACGGACCACGCCAGCTTCGATTTCGACGAGCTCATGCGGGTGGCTGGTCAGGTGGTCAACAACCTAACAAGGTCATCGACAGGAAGTTTTTCTTGATCGCAGAAGCTAGGAAGTCGAACATGGCTCACCGCCCGGTTGGTCAGGGTGTGCAAGGATTGGCCGACACGTACGCCCTCATGCGCCTTCCGTATGCGAGCGCGGAGGCTTTCGATCTGAACAAGAAGATATTTGAGACGATACACTACGGGCTTTGATGTCGTCCGTAGAGCTGGCGAGGAGGGATGGGCCGTACGAGTCCTTTGCGGGCTCGCCACTCTCGTCGGGCAAGTTCCAGTTTGATCTGCACGGCATTACACCCTTCTACGATTGGGAGAGTCTGCGCGCGCAGGTCATGAAGGTTGGGGCGAGGAACAGCCTGCTCGTGGCTCTTCCCCCCACGGCGTCTACTGCAAGCATCCTCGGGAACAACGAGAGCTTCGAGGCCTTCACGTCCAACGTATAAAACCGGAGGGTATTGTCCGGCGAGTTCCCCATCATCAACCAGCACCTGCTCCGAGAGCTCACCGCCCTGGAACTGTGGGATGACGAAGTCAAGCAAGAGCTAATGCTGTCGCAGGTTTCCGTTCAGAGCATCAAGAAGATTCCGGCCAGGCTTAGGGAGGTCTACAAGACGGTGTGGGAGATCCCTTAAAAGGTGGTGATCGACCAAGCCGCTGACAGGGCACCGTTCGTGTGCCAGTCGCAGAGCATGAACATGTTCGTAGAGTCTCCCAGCCGCGGAACACTCACCAGCATGCTATTCCACTCGTGGAAGGGCAAGCTGGTGACGGGAATGTATTACCCCAGGTCCAGGCCCAAAAGTGACCCGGTGCAATTCGGGGTGAACAGGGTGCCTAACAAGTCGACGTGTAACAGGGATGACAGGACGTGCGAGTTGTGTTCGGCGTAGGCTCAGCTTTGGAGCTTCGGTGTTTTGTGTTCGGCGTAGGCTAAGTGTTGAAACTTATGTGTGTACAAAAGTGCAGTGCAGTGGGCACGATGAATATCGACGACACTATCATATTTATGGGTCGGCTTCGTTCCGCCGAGACCAGGTGCCCCAGACGCAACGAGGAAAAGCACAAAAAAGAGTGTGACTTCGGGAACGTTACGGTGGTGGATGATTTGTCAGCGTTGTACGTTGACCCTGTGATCGGGTCGTCCAGTGATTTACGAGAAAGGTTCACCGAGTTCCTTGAAGAGAGGGCGAGCCGAGCGTACTACCTAGACTGTGTCTGCTACGTGCTCACAAATGACATTATTTACAAACAACTTGACACTGAGGAAAAGCAAATGGTGCGAGTCTTCAACAAGTCCACGAATCAATTTCGTTCGTGGGTGAGGGTCATCAGGCTTCTGAGCAGGAACGACGTCTTACGCGACACCAGCGACGAAGCGCTCCCAACAAAGATCATAAAGTCACTCAAAGCTCTCCAGTTGTTTGTTAAGATCAAGAGCGGGGCGGTCGGTATCTACAACTTTACCGCCGTGTCTGAGCGGCAAAAGATGATTGCCATTTACATGATCTCCTATAATAAGTGACAACCCGTCAAGTTTCCGTCCGGGTCGCGCGATAGCTTGTACCCGAACCCGTCATCCAGTCCCACCTTTTGATCGGAGGAACCGTCGGGGTTGGTTTGTAGCGAGTTTCGCACGGTACCGGTTTTTCCCTCCTCCACCGTGGTGCCGTCCGGGTAGGTCGCAACGAACTCGTAGTCACCATTTGTTTCGGTGGACCCCACGATTGGTGTGCCATCAGGTGACTGCGTAGTGTAGGACGTACTACCGTCTGTCGTCGTTTTCACGTTCTTGACGGTGCCGTCTGGAGACACGGTCTCCTCCGTAATGCTCCCATTTGCATCGTTGTATGGAATTTCAAAGGGTCCGTCGCTAGCTATTAGAGACATCTACAGCCGCCGTGCTTCATCTTAGAAGGGTGGCTCTGCTGTTTGCGTATATAGCACCGTAGAGTGCGAATTGGCACTTACGTACGTCCAACTTTATTTTGTTGCTACGCGCAGCACGAACGTGGTACTTGTTGCGCCGCTGCACGCACCACCGGCTACCAGTGTTCACCTACCCACGACGACACACAAACAACCAAACCAGGCTTGACCGACAAACATGGAGGACGCTCATGACGACACTGGTGAAGATCGAGCGGCGCGGGTGCCCTGCGCAGAGCGCAACGCCGACTGGTTCTCGAAGATTGACCATATCCAAGAGGCAGGTTACTTCTTGTGCTACAAGAGTGCGGTGAGGACTTCTCGAGGCTGTGTGTCATGGGCGTCAGCGCGAATGTCTCGAGCGCCGACTGGTGGAGTCACGACTCTTCAGCAGAGTCTTTCATTGGGAGCGATATCTCAAGGGTGTTTAGTGATGACTCGGCGAACCGGGATCGGTGGACCTTCTACCCTTTCCAGAAGTCACCCTCGAGTATCTAGCCTGTAGAGTTGCGCCCAGTAACCCGGGAGTGTACTTGCTGGAGATGGAAGAAAATAAAGGACCTCATGATGCCTGCAGGGGGGGTGCGCCCGACCTCGGGCACGTGGCGCGAGTGATGCGGTGCTTTACCCCCAGCGCCACCCCAGAAATGTTCACCGCCACTGTTTGTAGCTCTCTCATGCGAAGCGTCTCCGGGTACGACCGTATCATGGTCTACCGCTCCTCCAGTGACTGTAGCGGCGAGGCGATCCACGAGACCGTCCGACTTAGAGCTGAGGTCAGCTCCTCCTATCTGAACCTCCGATTCCCTGCAAGCGACATCCCGGAAATGGCGCGGAGGTTGCTCCTGCTGAATAAGCCGCGTTTCATCTGTGATACTTATATGAAGGGCGCGGTGCTTCATGTCCACTCCGACCTCAACACGGGCAAGAAGCTGGACCTCAGAATGAGCGCCCTAAGGGCCCCCGCACAATGCCACCTCGAGTACCTCCAGAACATGGGCGTCAAGGCGAGTCTGGCCGCGGCTATCACCGTCGACGATGAGCTCTGGGGGATGTTTTCCTTTCACAGCTACACGTGGGCGGTGATTCCGACGATCGAAGAGCGAACTCTGGTGGAGATGGCGGCTAGTGTGACCGGGATGACCGCGTCTCGCCACGAACGTGAGATGACCGTGACGGCCTCGCTCATCCTCAACAACACACTGGGGAAGCTCAGTGAGCACATCAAGATCCGTGAATTCCTGTCGGCCGAGAACCAAACTCTTAGCGGATGCTATTGTCGTGTGCGAGCAGTCGCGCTTGGTCACGGTGTACGGGGACAGCGAGCTTGGATTAACTCTGGAGGAGTGCACTGAGTTGTTCGAAGACGACCGCTCGGGAAATACGCTTTTTTTCCATTCTGAGAACGACAGGGGTATCGCCTGTTTCTCCGTGCGCTCCTTCCTGATCGCTTTTGTGCGCGGCAGTGCCGTGCGCCACGTGTCCTGGGCCGGTAAGCCGGATCCACCGTTGGTAGACGAAGAAAGGTTGCACCCGTGGGCGTCTTTTATGAGGTTCGTGGCGGAGGCGCCGATACCATTCCCTCCGTGGTCTGCGTCTACCAAGCAGCTTATCAACGTCGTGCAACACGGCATCTCTTCTCACATGTACTCGGAGGCTCTACCCGCCGACCTCGAGGAAGTCTTCGCCCACGTCTCTCATGAGCTGCGCACCCCCTTTCACGGAGTCATGGGCTCGCTTGAGATGCTGAAAGATGGGATGGTCACCATGGGGTTAGAGCAAAGGATGACCATCGTCGACTCCGCCATCGAGTGTGGCAATTCCATGTGAGAATTTCGCGGTCTGTCCTTTAGGGATTATGAACACACACGACGATCATCCTCGGAAGAATTACACCACTTGCACCACTTGCCTAACGCATTGCTTTTCGTATCACCGTGCCGATTTTGTGCGTCGACGCAGCATGTCCACACTGAGCGACATCTTGGACATAGCAAAGGACCGCAACAACACCAAGCTAAACTGCACGACATTTGCTGCGTGGACCCCGATCCTAGAGACGATGTCGGCTATGAACCAATTCGCCACCCGTAAGACTATCGAGCTCAGCAAGAAGGTTGAGCAGACCGTGGGCGAGCTGGCAGTCACGGGGGACGAGAGGCGCATCAAACACATCGTCCAGAACTTGGTCAACAACGCCATCAAATTCACCCCAACGGGGGGGAAGGTTGAGGTCTCTCCTCGTGTTCGATGCCCCGGAAAAGGTGCAGGCTTGGTGGGACGAGCAGGCCGCCCGGTTCGAAAGTAGGTGCTGGAAAGGTGTCGGTGTGATAAATGACCGCGGCAACGATGCGGGGGGGGACGGTGAAGGTAAGACGGGGGACTCTCTAAGACGTTGGGTCGTGTACAGCGTGGAAGACACCGGTGTTGGCGTCTCTCGTGGAGACATACTGGTTCTCACGTCGGCCTACCGGCAGCTCTCGCATGGCGCCTCAAAGGAGTACGCAGGGACCGGCCTTGGACTCCACATCAGCAGCACTCACATCCGCACCATGTCTGGCGGGCTGGGAATAGCTTCCACATCCGCCCAAACGGGAGATCGCAAGGACAGCTCGGGTACCATATTCGCGTGCGCCATCCCGCTGCTCGTGAGTCCGGTGAAGATCGCCGGAGCTGTGCAAGATGAGACAGTTGCCGACCCCGGGAAGACAACTACTGTCCCCCATGCGGTGACATTCCTGGTTGTCGACGATAATGCGGTGAATGTCAAGCTTCTCAAGCACAGGATCACGAAGACGTTCGACGACAGCAAACTGCAAGTGATTACTGCGACAGACGGAAAGACGGCAATCCAGCAGTGGGAGGCCGTGAAGGGGCTAGGAAAAGACAACGACCACGTCTTTGCCGGGGTGTTCATCGACTTTCACATGCCGAACATGAACGGCATGGAGTGCACTGAATGCTTGCGGCGCCTCGAGGCGAAGAACGGGTGGTCACGCACTCCAATCTCGGGGTGCACGGCCGACCTGACCGAGAAGGCCACGAAGCAGTTCACCGATGCGGGTGGGGACGAAGTGCTGTGCAAGCCTTGGAGGGCGGGAGATGTGAAGAGCATGTGCCACCGCATGATAGCGAAGGCGCTAGAGGCGGAATAGAAAAGTTCTTAGTTCGTTTCATTGATTTTGGGATGCTATGTACTAACATAGCAGTTGTGGCTTCTTGGCGATTTCTTAGGTTCATGCTTGAATTTGAACAAACGGCGCTTCCGTACGCTTTGTTTGTCTTCATTGCCGCAACGCGCTGGGCAATCGACGGCCTCGGCCCCTCAATGTTGAATTTGAGCGCAACTGGCTAGTCTTCCTCTGAGTCCGCCTGCTCTGACGGCGTGCTGCCGTCTCCGTGCACGGAGGAATCCTTACCACTAGCGCACTCCGAGTCCTCGTCGGACGAAGAAGCCCCTCAGCTGATCGTCAGTGTGTATTCGTCCACCGTACAACCAAACACTACATCGCGATCATACCTTGGCCGAAACACGATAATGCAAGGCACCTCGAACGACACACTATCCAATTGGTTTCTCGCACTATTACGAACTAGCTCGTCGACGCGCTTCACCAGGTACTTCCTTGCGAGCTTGTCCGGCCAGTCATTCGAAAGTCGAAGCTCTAGAATTTCGTCCACGGATCTTATCCTGGGCATTTCAATTAAAAACATATGCCGATGGTGCGACTGTCTCTAGTGTAACACAAAATAAAACGCCCTAGTGCACATGGAAGAGTCCTTCGAAGTCTTACCGAGAGCGCAGCTGCTCGAGAACTTCGCGGAAGTGGAGGTGACATGGAAAACGCCCAGTACACCCGAGGGCATGACAAACGTTCTCAACATTCTTGGCGTGACTTGTACGGAGGACATTATTCGTGGGTCTGCGAACATTGGTGTTGGATACATGTGCTGGATGATTTGGTGTCACGTAGACTGGTAAGATTGCCGTTTGGTAGGGGGCACCGCGATGATTTACGGGGCCCATCCTTGCTGTGGGAGCCGCTCTTTGAGCACTCCCTCTTTCGTCCGTGTGAAGGACGGTCGTCGACCTCCCGTGAAGTCAATACATCACCAAAACAGTTTCACCCGATAAATAAGTGGCGTAGGCCGCAAACACTCTAGAGATAGTTTTTTGCCCCGCGAGGAAGGCCACACGGAGATGAGCTCTGCCGGAGACGAGGTGCCCACTGCTGCGAGCGGAGAACAGATCCGCTCGCCGGTGCAGGAGGGCCGCGATGCAGAGCTTCCAAGTTTGCAACGGCAGATTTCGCAATTGGCGGCCCTGGTGGAGGAGTCGGTGAAGAAGGAGCCTGGTAGCGTCGTGGCGGATGCAGCCAGTAGGGGCGGCTGGGTTGCTGCCCGCGAGAGCCAAGAGCCAACGCTGCCGCTCGGCGGTGGCGGGGGATTTCTCCAGCAGCAAGCGAGAGATGGTGGGCAAGGACCACGGCAGCTGCTGGAAGGCGGCTGGGCCAAGCGAATCCTGCGAGACCAGCCGGAGTGGGCCCGGGCATAGGACCGGACTACGGGGAAGCGAGGGGGTTAAACCCCCCAGGTGAGATACCCGTGATTGGAGGAAATCGAGAATACCTAGACGGCTACAGCAGTAGCCACCAGAAAAGAGTGACGGTCAATGCCCCGCTTAGACGGAAAAAGCCGTAGCCACGGATTTGACTCGTGGCGAAAATCATTCATCCAAGCTGCGAAGACCGTCGACTTGGACGGGCAGTTTATAGGAGATGCAGAGAGCAATATCACCGTGGGCGACCCAAACTTGCCGACTTCCGAGCTGCTCCGTAGGGGGTACACGAGAGCAGAAGTCCAACGAGGGCTTCAGGTGTTCCATTTTATCACTACTGCTGTGGTAAAAGAAGCTGACAAAGCAATTATCAGCAACTGTACGTCAGCGAAAGAGGTCCTTGCGGAATTGGAAAAGGTCTACGATCCGGAGTCACAGGGGTCAAAACAGGCCTTGATGCGAAAGATGTTCGCAATCCCCACACACAACAACAGCAACCCCATCGAGCACCCCTACTCACTCGAGCTGCTGTATGCCCGCCTGCGCGAAAAGGGGCTCAATGCTGAACAACCCTTCGTTCTCGCCCACTTCGTTGGTTCCCTCCCACCCGAGTACCAAAGCGAAGTTCCTGTTGGAGACAGCAACGGGGCTGGATAGGGCCGAGATGTCGTCAGGATCGTGAGCACGGTGCACGCGAGCCTCCCGGAGGGAAGGAAGGCCTCGAAGGGCCAGCGTAGGGCGGAGCATGCTCTCCTCCCGAGCGACGGTAGCGGCGG